TAAGTAAATCTTGTTGATATATGATATCTTTACACAAGGCTTTGTACTAATAACCTGTGGTTACCTAAAAAAGCCTTCAACAATAAACAGCGCCGAGACTAGAAGGAAACACGTGAATTTTGTTAATTGTATCATTAAAAAGTCGAAATAAATTTAGAATATTGAATAGGCATATTTCATTTAAATCATGGACCGATTGATGTTAGACCATCATGGAAAACCTAGAAGCACCGGACAGCCGTTTCGTCCTACTGTGGGACTCTTCAGCAGTGCGTATCCACGATCTCACCCCTCGAGAATCCAACACAGGATCTATCAGTCACGAGCGCGAGCGCTTAACCATTACACCACTCACTGAGCCGACATCCAAAATGATTGTGTAAATGAAGGTAAGAAGAAAAGAGGAGAGAAATAACCAAATTAATAGTGTGACTCAAGAACCGAGTGAAATAACATTATCATGCTAATAACGTTTATATTTCCAGTAATGATGATAATAGTAATAATAATAATAGTAGTATTAAAACCATTAATGATATGTCTTAATTAAAAGTAAAGTTTCGCATTAGATTGACTCACATTAACAAAGAATAATGATAATTAGGCATGAGGAAGTAGAACAGACATAATGGAATTAATAGAATGAAACAAATTTGTTTTGATGGTGAAGCATCGAACAAAGAAATGGTGGGGGGGTGGTGTGAATAAAGAAAATGATCGAAATGAAGAATAATGTGTATATGATAAATACGAATTGATGTTAGTTATTTCCGTCAATCATGTTCTAGTTGTATTTCCTTATGTTTGTTGTAAATGGGAATTATTTACATTATTAGTATCATGATTGTAATCAGTTCTTTTTCTTTAGGTTATTACTGTTATGTAATAAATTATATTATCTTCATTCTTTTTTCCCATTAATTATCTTACTATCAATATTTAATCAGTAGTATATTTTTGTATAAATAATATGTGTTAGATTATTGTTGATAAATGACATTCATTTGATTTAAATAAAGCCTGTAAAATTATCCACAATGTTTCATTATATTTACTGTACCGTTTATGTGTTCATCTTTTGTATACTGAATAAGCTAACAGAATCCACATTTGTACTAAACAGAAGTTTGAGATGGTGGATAGCATAAGCTAAACCAAAGTGAGTTATTACAGAATTTTGATTTGCTTCACTTTTATGAAAGCTTTACAAACTTTATTCACTCTTATGTTGATGTATAATTTAAATAATAATCTCTTTATCGTATCAAACTGTGAAGGTGAACTATGTTGATTTCAATCTCATTAGCACTATCAGTTTCATTAAGATTATAGATATGGATTGTTGTCCCAAATGGTAAATACCATGAAAACTAGATTCAATGATTCTTTTTTACTATCTTCAATTATCTAATATCTCTTTACTTTCATATATTTATTATTAAACTAATGTGTAATTAAGATAATTCATTACTTCTTTCATTAGATATTATCTAGTTTATAAACTGTTGCTCTTTAAGTTTTCAGTTAAATTATGTTCTGAAAGATATTTAAAAATACTAAATATTCATTTGAGGTATAGGTATGATATAAGCTACTGATGTCGACAGATATAAGTGGTACAGATGATCAATCAAAAGTGAAATGCATGGTGGTAGATGGTTAAAAAGATCGTTCACTACACAGGTTCATTATTCAAGAACACTTTTACTCACTTACTTACGCTTGTTACTCTACGTAAAGGAGCATATATCGCTCATCAGCACTCTCCATCTAACCCTGTCCTGGGCGATCCTTTCCAGCTCTTACCACTTGTTATTCATTCTTTTCATATCCGCTTCTATTTCCCGACGTAATATGTTCTTTGGCCTCCCTCTTTTCCTTTTCTCTTCTGGATTCCAAGTTAGCGCTTGTCTCGTAATGCAGTTTGATGATTTTCTCAATGTATGTCCTATCCATTTCCATCGTCTTTTCCTAATTTCTTCTTCCGCTGGAAGCTGGTTGGTGCTCTCCCGCAAAAGGCTGTTGCTGATGGTGTCCGGCCAATGGATGTTGAGTATCTTGCGTAGACAGCTATTGATAAATACTTGTACCTTCTTGATGGTGGTTGTTGTAGTTCTCCAAGTTTCAGCTCCGTACAGTAGAACTGCCTTGACGTTCGTATTGAAGATTCTGACTTTGATGTTGGTTGACGGTTGCTTGAGTTCCATATGTTCTTTAATTGAAGGAATGCTTTGATTGCTTTGCCAATCGTAGCGTTTACGTCTGCATCTGAACCTCCTTGTCTATCGACAATGCTTCCCGGGTATGTGAAGGATTCTACATCTTCCAGAGTTTCGCCATCAAGAGTGATTGGATTGCTGTTCTCCGTGTTGTATTTGAGGACCTTGGTTTTCCATTTGTGTATGTTGAAGCCTACTGGTGCAGAGACTGTTGCTATTCTGGCTGTCTTTATCTGCATTTGTTCGTGTGTATGCGATAGGAAGGCTAGATCATCTGCGAAGTCCAAATCGTCTAATTGGTTCTGAGCTGTCCATTGTATGCCGTGTTTTCCCTCAGATGTCGAGGTGTTCATAATCTAGTCGACCACCAGAAGAAAGAGGAAGGGAGAGAGTAGACAGCCTTGTCTAACTCCGGTCCTCACTTGGAATGCATCTGTCAGCTGTCTTCCATGCACTACTTTGCACTGTAGTCCGTCGTATGAGTTCCGGATAATATTGATAATCTTCTCAGGAACTCCATAGCGTCGAAGAAGTTTCCATAACGTTCTCCTATCAACACTGTCAAATGCCTTCTCATAGTCAATGAAGTTGATGTGACGAATTCCACTCAATTGGTTGTTCGACGATGATCCGTAGAGTCGCAATCCTTACGGAATCCAACCTGTTGATCTCGAAGTTGAGCGTCTACTGTGTCTTTCATCCTGTTCAGTAACACTCTGTTAAAGACTTATCCTGGTATTGACAGTAGTGTAATGCCTCTGTAGTTTTCACAATTGTTCAGGTCTCCTTTCTTTGAAATCTTGATGAGGTGTCCTTCCTTCCAGTCCATCGGCACTTTTTCCTTTTCCCAAATCTTCTTGAATAGAAGATGACGCATGCTTGTAGTTACTTTGATGTCTGATTTCAACGCTTCAGCTGGTATATTGTCAGATCCTGCTGCTTTCCCGCTCTTGATTTATCTGATGGCCATTCTGATTTTTTCGGTCGTTGGTGGAGTGACATCTATAGGAAGATCTGTGTGTGCTGCCTTGATGTACGGTGGATTTATTGGAGCCGGCCTATTCAGGAGTTCCTTGAAGTATTCTGCCCATCTGTTCCGCTGTTGCTGAATCTCAGTGATTGGTCTTCCTTCTTTGTCTTTGACCGGTCTCTCTGGTTTACTATATTTCCCTGCTAGTTTTTTCGTTGTATCAAAAAGCTGTTTCATATTTCCTTCTCTTGCAGCTTTCTCCGCCGTCGTTGCTAGTTCTTCCACGTATTTCATGGACTAGGTAAAATACCTTGATTTTTTTCGAAGCCTAGATACAGAAAACGTACGAGCTTTCCAAAATGTGCCTCTTCCATCTAATGTTGCAAATCTTTGTTCATTTCTTGGCCTTATTAGTCATTACAGTAACATTTTCTCACAACTGCACAGCCTATGAGCACCAATGAACCATTTATTTTCTAGTGGCAAAAAGAAAGCTATTGCACATGCTTCCAGAACGTTGACTTCGGCAGAACGCAAATATAGTCAAGTTGAAAAAGAAGGATTGGCATTAATTTTCGCAGTTAAAATGTTTCAAAAATTGCTGAATGATCAAAAATTTAACCTTCAGATCACTGAATCAACATCCAGAGGTGTTCATATTTAACCTCAGTAAATGTACGATAATGCTCAACAGTACACCATAGTCTGCAGTCGGTAACTACCCCCACACTCGACACCGTCGTGTAGAGGTCAAGCGTTCACGTTCCAGGCCGAAGGTCCTGGGCTTAGTTTTCGTACGCGAGGTCATTAACGCACACAACAGGAGAATCTCATACTAGGAAAGTTCGGCCATCCAATACTTCCAGGTTTCTAATAGTGGTCTAACTTAGATTGATTCGTGACTTCAGTAATGCCTGACATTATTACTATTTAGTTGTAGATTAATGAATGTCTTTATGATATAAAGTAACTGACCGATGAAAGGGGATGGACCATTTTATTGCTATTTTGATGTTTGTTTCTCAATGATTACTAAGGTTTTTCTTACTATAAACGTTTCAATGATAAGTTGAATTCCGTTTTTTGTCTTAAAACTATATACTACTTACAAGTAGTTCCTATTTCATCTTCAAAATATCCGATATGAATAAGGATATTGATGAAAATTTAAATATGTTAACGGGTAAAGCTTAGAAAATGGTCATAGGAAATATTTCAATGGTTAAGATCATAAGTCAGTTGAAGCTAGACCACCATGGAAAACCTGGAAGCACTAGACGGCCGTTTCGTTCATGATGGTCTAGTTTCAACTGAATCATGATCTTAACCATTGAAATTACTACAATCTCCATAAAAACCCTTCTGACATAGGAAATATGACTATTATGCACTAGTACAATTGACATCCCATAAATGAAATGTATGAAATCGGAGATTATTACTACTTAAATCACATATCATATTGCACTACCGTTAATGGTTAGAATCAATCACTATTGACATTTTCAATAGTGACAATTTTAAAAGCAACTACAGTCTGAAATTCAATGCTCATATGACTATGTTATTCTGTTGAACTCATTGAAGCCAATCTCATATCGAGTGTTTTTGTTATATTGATAGATAGTTTGCTAAAACTATGTCCACTCATGGATTCAATCATTTGTCTTAAGTTAAAAATGACTAAAATTTATAAAGATACTGATGAGTCTTATATAGGATGCGAAACATTTATCATACATTCTCCTACTGATCACAAATCTATTTATTCCATTAAAACAATTAAACTAGTTTTAATAAAATAAGGAAAATACAATAAAAATAGATTTATATTTTAATAGTTGGTTTTGTATTTATAAAAAATAATAAAATAAACTCTTTTTATTCAAATGATGAATATTCAAAGGTCAATGTTTTGTTTTAACTGAATAGTTTATTGAAAGTATATTATTGTTTTCAACTGTTTAACATTTAACAAAAAATTACTGGTTATAAAGATTAGTCTCAATTTCAATTTTGGAAAGGATAGAAGGCTTAATGGCCTGTCAATGATAGTCTTTCAGTTAATCCAACTTTCTTTTGAAAGAGTCAATAAATGTAGCTTCAATCATGTGTTGAACTAATGAATTCCATTCGTTGATTACAATGTATATATATATATTATTAAAGATCAATTATATTCGTAAAAATATAAATTATATTATTGAACTAAAATACATTGATCATTTATTGTTTCACTCAGTAATTGGCTACAAATCTGAATTACATATAAATTGAAAACACCGAAGGGGGTGGGGTGGGGTGGGGGAAATAAAGGGAAAAAGGGAGAGTGGGAGAGAAAAAGAGAGGGAGGAGTGAGTGTGACAAATGAAACAAATATAATAATTACAATATATTAAAATTACAATAAAAACAATCAATAATATCAAGAACTTGAATAACATACATAATTTTGTGAATTATTATTATCCCAATATTCAAAATTATTACCTCTATAAACTACAGCAAATTCTAATTGATAAAATTTAGTATCTAATGGAATTGTTGATAAAATAATTTCAGATTCATTTGTTTCTATCCATTGATATGTATTACTATTATTATTATTAGTAGTAGTTAATAAATGATGACTTAATTGATCCATACGTATTAATGATGGACATTCTGTATAAGTTTTCCAATTATCTAATGTATAACGTAATTTTACTTCTTTTGTTATATCTAAATAATTTGTTTGTATATCACTAATTGTTTTTACTTGTACATTAAATGAATATAAATTTTGTGAATGAAATTGTGAAAGACATACTTTTTGTTCTATAAGACGTTGATTAAAATTAGCACATTGATTTGGATTTGGAAATGTTGGTTCCCATTTCTAAAAAGAAAAAAAAAAGAATTTAATATAATCAGAAAGAGGTTTTGTAGATATGATAGTAATTTTAATAGTTGATGTCATAAGTTAATTAAAGCTAGACTATCATGGAAAACCTGGAAGCATTGGACAGTTGTTTCATTCTAGTATGGGACTCTTCAATGGTCTAGAGGTTAAGCGTTCGTGCGTGATTTCGACAGGTCCTTGGTTCGAATTGTTCGTGGCGGGATCGTGGATGTGCACTGTTGAGGAGTCTCACACTGGGACGAAATGGTCATCCAGTGCTTCCAGGTTTAACATGGTGGTCTGGCTTTAATTAACTTATGAACTCAACTATTAAAATCATAGGAAATAAAAAAATTTTTCTCGATGAATAAATGAAAATTTAGTTAAAATTTTCAGACGTCTAATATTTCTTGATATAAGATGGTGGTTGGAAGTAGATGACAGGAAACCCTAGATCTAGGTTTCTTGCTACTTGGCACTCCTTGACGAATTCGATTCCATTTCACCCAGTTTCACAGATAGAGACGTTCCCACTGTGCTGTCCAGGCCATGACTGATTTCCTGTAGAACTAAGATATACTTACAATTGATTGATTGATAGGATTTGATCTGCTCTAAGAAGGACCTGGTGCATCTGACATCGGTCACCACCCAGTGATCAATCAACTGTAAATTTTATGGTATATCAAGGAATTGAACAAAATGAAGTCACTCAAAAAAGTTAATGTTTTATTTAGCTTTCAAGAATATCGTGTTATTTTTGAATACAGTCTAGAACTATACTGTAAATGGATATGAAATTAATCGTCAATAGTCGACTGCATTCGGTTGTGCACAGACCAAATCGCAACTAGCAGCTATTTGGCAAGTATTCGTTAACAAGTAATTCGACTCATTCTTTATACAACCTGTTTATTTCATATGCATCGTTATTCTGACTAGAATTAATGTGGTCTGTTATAGCAATACACAATTATGTATTTGATGATTCTCATTGTACGTGTACATCGGTTATTCGGAAACAACATTTTTAACCTTCAACTCGCACTTTTATTTTTCCTTCATAGAAAAACAAATTAACACCTAATATCAACTATTAATAACTCAAACTTACATAAACATTCACACACACAATTCATTTATTTGTTTTCACATAGTGAACTTTTCACATGATTCACATATAACTAACTGACTTATGTTATACTACTTACTAATGTCAACATCCACACAAGATTGGATTATTACAGAATAGATTTGATCAGACTGTTACACAAGATATACCACTTTGCTGATTTTGATTTCGATTATTACCCTGAAGAAGTGCGGACAAATTTGCTGGACGAAACGTTGGAATCATTCAAATTTCAATCGTTGAGATTATTTCAAATATAATTTTCAGATATAATGACGTCCTTATACTCGGTTCCCAATTTTTGTCAAACTATTCGTTTTAATATTGACAAATATTCATATAAGTATATTAAGGTTTATTAAAGCCTTAGACATACGAAAATTTTGCCACTCTTTACCTATTCAAAAACACATTGTTCTCATATTAAACCTAACTTGGTAATATTAACTTTTAATCAAGTATGATGAGTTTTCCGATTGTTTTTCATCAAATTGTGTTCTTTATTATCTTTGTTTTCTCTTAACCTCTATTTCTAGTCTTGTTGACTTTTTAATTTCTTGTATATAAATATTCTTAACAAGTATGTGTGTTTAAACATGAGATTGTTCGAAATGTATTGCGTTAATATATCCATATAGTTGAAATCATAAGTCATGAGACCGCTATGGGTAACCTGAAAGCACTGGACGGCCGTTTCGTCCTAGTATGGGACTCCTCAGAAGTGAGCATCCACGATCCCGCCTTGTGAGATTTGAACCCAGGACCTATGATTTCAACTATTGAAATTTTTAAAATCTCCACAAAACCCCTTCTGATAATATTCACATAGTTCTGATAATCTTCATCTTCTTATTACACTATCGAAATTTATCAAAGGGACTAATTGCTTCAAATTTAAGTATACTTCAACAGTTTTTTTATCACCCTATTCAACATTAACTATATTAGGATAGATAGGAAACTAGGCGATGTTCGTAGAAGATTAAAAAAAATATAATCTGATGTTACATGAATAATAAGGATATTTGTTAAGGCTTACTGACTTGTATTTACATGAGAAATGTTCAGATGTTCACTGAAAATAAACCGATCGGTTTGTCTAAAATCAAATAAATTTTATTCTTTAATATTTATTCTGATTATTAGTTGTAAGTGTAAGTCGAAAGTTAAATTGCTGTCGAAGATTATTCTTACATACGAAACACATGATAGAAGTAATAAGCAATAAGAGATTTGATATTTTCTAGAGCTTTCGAACAAATTATTAGTTATCGGTATGGATTTGAACAAATTGGTGATTATCTGGACTAATCAATATGATGGATAACATGTTAACATTGCCTCCAAATGCTCTGGTACGGTTGAGAGTTGGGAGATTCAGCTCTCCTTCTCGAGGTACTCTCACATGTTCACAAATATACAAACACTGCCAGAGAAGTCCTACTCACTGCCTTCTCGCGGTGGGGGTGTTGTGGTTTATGAAATTGAGAGGACAGAAATGTCCCCGGGTTGGCGGATACGGAGTGTCCACCTAGGGGAGTTGGAAAACCCTGATTCCAAACCAATGTTACACATGGGCTTCAGGATCCCGAAAGAACAAATGACATATGAACCAATCGTTGGCCACAGGCTACCATGTGACTGCATCTCCTGATGTTGCTCCAGTGCCTTGTGGATCAGACTTTTAGGTCGAAGGCTCCGGGTGTGATCTCCTAAGAAAACCATCTGCTTCGGTCTGGGCACCCGGCCAGTATCGCATCCCACATACAAATCAAATGACTTGTGTGGCGCATATGTATTCGGTTCTCCTTTGATGTATGTGGAATCGGACATTTAGGAGCATAGGTAGATTGAATAACATTTGTAAAATGAGATTGTAAGTTATCATTGTATCAAGTTGACAAGCAGAACCAAATAAATGTGGGAAAGTAAAGTGTCATGTTACCCATCTATCCTTTAGTTAATTGTGAATGATGATGATGATGTTTAGAAATACGAAAACTAGTTGTATTCCCATTATGAATGGCTTTATGGGAACAGTTAGACTGGTAGACACGTACAAAAGTCGCGAAATTTAATAGCTATTGTACACCTTCAGAAACTCATTGATAGTCGTCAAAATTTAAATAACAACGAGTATTGTGGTGTCAGTAGATAATAAGTAGTATGTATCATCAATCAAAAGTGAAAGGCCTAGTGGCAGAACATTAAGAAGATTGAAGAAAAGATAGTCGGAACAGTGAATGATTGCTGTGAAAGTAAAAGAACAATGAAGTTTGAGACAATTGACTGATATATTGCAAATTAAGTATGGTTATCAGATTTACTGTAATTTTGTGTTGAAATACATTCTGTTGACCTCCACTTGTGTTCTCGTTCACTGTAGTATCACAACCATAAAAAATGTATGATTGAAAAAACCTGTTATTATACAGTTTTATATCATTGTTTGACTTTAGTTTGACAAGCACTGAAAGTAAGGAGATAATAAACAGCCGTTTTGACGTAGTATGATATTTCATAGCAGTGCAGAACAACGGGATCGATCTAAGACTTTCAGATCACTTGTCAAGTGCACTAATCAGTTATAAATGTTTGAAAGTTGAAACCTAAAATAGCATCGCTAGTTCATCTGATAATTTTAAGTTAATTACGGTAAGAAAGAGTATTCCATTGATTTTTATGACTGATTTTATAGTACTGATAGTTTCAACAGTTGACGATATTGTTATGTCATTGTATAACATCTTTCACCCTTTGAATTTAAAGACCATTTATGCTCTTTCATATATTTTATTTTGGAGCTATTCAGTGTGTAGATGACTCTTAGATAATTATTCAACTTTGTTTTATCTCTCATTCCCATCCTGTCCATATTTAAATGATCTAATCTACTAAAATTCTAAAACATATATAAAAACGGTAGTAACTAAGCTAAACAGTAATAATTTAATAAACTGTGGTACCAGTTAATTTAGCACTGATAACGATGATAACCAAATGTTTTAAACGTTTAGTTTGTAGTGGTCTGAATTATCCCGTTGTTAATATTTTGATCAATCTTGGTTGACATATGTGTATTCCATGTGGATTGTCTGAATATAGCTTTTATGTTACAACGTTTTGTAGAGTAGATGTAATGTGGCGATCAGTGAAATCCGGCGCCTATTTTTTCGTCCCAGAGTTAATATTCATCCCGGGATTAGAATCCAGTACTTTTTGCTTCAAACCTTCATTGGATTATCCAACGAGCTGCAGAGTCCTAACAGCTCTGGGGTTTATACTCATCTAACTAAAGAGTCCCGAATAAGACCAAACACGCGTCCTGGATCCCACCTCTAGCCACATCACACCTCTTATATGAAAAAATTGTGACAATATAGGTATATTGAAGAAATCCGCACAGGATGCCTATATACCAAACAGAGCTGATCAAAATTCAATCACAATATCACCAACCGGGTAATCCAAACGACTATAAATTAAATTAAAATTGCTACGTATTGTACTAGTAAGTTCCTATCTGAACTTAATAGCTCAATGGATAACATGTTGGAATTTGAAGCGAAAGGTACTGAGTTCGAGTCACAGTGTGGGCATAAACACTGAAATCCAGATAAATCCAGCTGACAAATCTGAAATAGGATGAAATATAAGTCACCAATTCAACTCCCGATCACAGATCATCTATCCTAGCAATACCTACTGAACCATATATAGTAAATAATTATTTGTGGTCGTACTTACTATTTTATTAAAATACTTCCCATTTATCAATAATTCCTTGGATAGTACAAGGTAACAAATGAATATACAGAAAAAAGTATACGATTCCTTTCTTAGGTCATTTAAACATATAAAAACT